AATACAAAAATGTATCCTACTTAATACAATAGTGTTGTTCTTTACAACTTAAAGGCACACAACAACAATTTCTCATAACAACAGTAGTATTTTCACAACATGTTTATACACACACGCACACACACATACATATATATTCTGTGGGGTCTGTCTACTTAATACAAAATTTTATCCTACTTAATACAATAGTGTTGCTCTTTACAACTTAAAAGCATGCAACAACAATTTCTCATAACAATAGTATTGCCACAACATGTTTATATACATCTATATATCTATATCATCTATATATATAAATATATAATCAGTATATCTATATCTACAGGAGATATATATATATATATATATATATATATATATATATATATATATATATCTCCTATATATATAGGCAGAGGCGGCCCTAGGCAATTTTCAACGGTAAGCAAACAGTATTTTGCCCCCCCCCCCCAACCAATCATTGATATATATTTTCTGTTCGTCGTGGGAGTTCTGTGTGCCATATTTGGTTCAATTCCATCATTGGTGGAGTTCAGAATGCTCTTTGATTGTAGGTGAACTATACATCCCAGTAACTACACTTGCCGCACTTGCTCCCTTGCCTGGCCCGCTTTGGGTCCGGAGGCGTGCCTGAAGACCCCGGCGTGTGCACCAAAAGTCACCTCTTCTCCTGACTTTCTCCTCAGCCATTGAGACCAAGAGAGAGAGAGAGAGAGAGGTGGAGATGCCCACCTTTCCTGAAGGTAGGCGCAAAAACAAAGGAGGGAGCGGAGGTGGGAGATACCTCCAGCCGGAGGGGCTCTCTCTCTCTCTCTCTTGGTCCCAATGGCTGAAGAGAAAGTCAGGAGAAGAAGAGGTGACTTTTGGTGCACACGCTGGGGTCTTCAAACATGCCTCTGGACGCGAAGCGGGCCAGGTGCGGTGGCTCCGCCCTTTGGCCCACCCACGGATTGGGGAGAGGAGAGGAGGCGGGTGGAGCGCCGGAGGATTGGGAAAGGGAGCCGGTCATGGGGAAGGGATCTAACGCGGAGAATGATTGAGCGCTGGCTCTGCTCATGCAACCGGTGGCCAGGTGGAGCAGGAATGAGAGGGGCTAGGCGAGGCTCAAGGGCCCAGCCCTTTTGGGAAGAGGATCGCCCGGCAGCGAGGCAAGAAAGCCGAGGCTCCCCCCGGACTGCTAGGGCTGTTGTGAGCTGAGGGGGCGCTCCTCAAGTGTCGGTCGAGGGGCATTTACAGAGGCGCCTCTGCGCCCCTTGCAAAAAAAGTGTTCTGCGACCACTTACTTCGCGTAATGGACGAGCCGCCCCTGTATATAGGTTAAAGGTAAAGGTTGTCCCCTGACATTAAGTCCAGTCATGTCTGACTCTGGGGTGTGGTGCTCATCTCCATTTCTAAGCCGAAGAGCCGGCGTTGTCCGTAGACACCTCCAAGGTCATGTGGTCGGCATGACTGCATGGAGCGCTGTTACCTTCCCGTCGGAACGGTACCTATTGATCTACTCACATTTGCATGTTTTCGAACTGCTAGGTTGGCAGAAGCTAGGGCTGACAGCAGAAGCTCACGCCACTCCCCGGAATCGAACCTGCGACTTTTATATATAGATAGCAGCTTGGGTGTGATTCTGGACTCATCGCTGAGCCTGGAACCCCAGGTTTTGGCGGTGACCAGGGGAGCATTTGCACAGTTAAAGCTTGTGCGCCAGCTGCACCCGTACCTTGGGAAGTCTGACTTGGCCACGGTAGTCCACGTTCTGGTTACATCCCGTTTAGACTACTGCAATGCTCTCTACGTGGGGTTGCCTTTGAAGACTGCTCGGAAGCTTCAATTGGTTCAACGTTTGGCAGCCATGATACTAACAGGAGCGGAGCACAGGGAGCATACAACTCCTCTGCTGCGCCAGCTCCACTGGCTACCAATTTGCTGCCGGGCCCAATTCAAAGTGCTGGCGTTGGCCTATAAAGCCCTAAACGGTTCTGGTCCAGCTTACCTATCCAAACGTATCTCCGCCTATGAACCCACCAGTACTTTAAGATCTTCTGGGGAGGCCCTGCTCTCGATCCCATCTGCATCACAGGCACGTTTGGCGGGGATGAGGGACAGGGCCTTCTCGGTGGTGGCCCCCCGGCTGTGGAACGCCCTTCCCATGGACATTAGATCAGCCCCCTCGTTAATGGTGTTTCGAAGAAGACTGAAGACCTGGCTGTTTGAACAGGCGTTTGGATAAACAGTGCTATGAATATAATGAATATAGGAAAACGGAATTACAGATGACGAGTTGGATCACGATTCTAGTTACGAGATGTTAATGTGTTGTCTATTGATGTGTAATTACTCAGTATATTACGGTGTTAATTGTTTTTAAACAGTGTATGTTGTTAGTATTGAATTTTTGCTCTTGTTGTTAACCGCATTGAGTCGCCTATGGGCTGAGAAACGGCGGTATACAAATAAAGTAAGTAAATAAATAAATAATAAATAGATAGATAAATAGATATAGATATAGATATCCTGTGAGGTCTGTCTACTTAATACAAAAATGTTTCCTACTTAATACAATAGTTCTTTACAACTTAAAGGCACACAACAACAACAGTAGTATTTTCACAACATATGTATGTATATATATATATATATTAGGCTTGGGCAATCCATGGTTCTAAATGGTTCTAAAGTACTTATAAAACCAAAGTTCTGGTGATGAAAATTTCAGAACTCTAACAAAACTTTCAAAATTTAATTATTATTTCATTATTGTTGATTTTAATGACAGAACCAATTAGGAACTGCCATTTATTATGAAATTTTGAGTTTTGTTAGAGTTCTGAAATTTTCACCACCAGAACTTTAGTTTTGTAAGTACTTTAGAACCATTTAGAACCATGCATTGCCCAAGCCTAATATATATATATATATATTACATGTTTTGGAGTTGGGTGCCACCTCTATGCAGATGACACACAACTCTACTACTCTTTTCCACCTAATTCCAAGGAGGCCTCTCGGGTGCTGGACGAGTGCTTGGCCGCTGTGTCTATCTGGATGAGAAAGAACAAGCTGAAGATCAATCCCAACAAGACAGAGGTCCTCCTGGTCGATCGTAAGCCAGATCGGGGTATAGGGTGGCAACCTGTGTTGGACGGGGTTACACTCCCCTTGAAAGCACAGGTCCGCAGTTTGGGAGTCCTCCTGGATTCATCACTCATGCTTGAGGCTCAGGCGTCGGTGGTGTCCGGGAGGGCTTTTGCACAATTGAGACTTGTGCGCCAACTGCGACCGTACCTCGCGAAGGCTGATCTCGCCAGAGTGGTCCATGCCTTGGTCACCTCTAGATTGGATTATTGCAATGCGCTCTACGTGGGGCTGCCCTTGAAAACGGCTCGGAAATTCCAACTGGTCCAACGGGTAGCAGCCAGGATGTTGACTGGGGCTCCTTACAGAGAGAGGTCAACCCTCCTGTTTAAGGAGCTCCACTGGCTGTCATTTATCTTCCGAGCCCAATTCAAGGTGCAGGTGCTCACCTACAAAGCCCTAAACGGTTTGGGACCTGCCTACCTGCGTGACCGCATCTCCATCTACGAACCCACACGTTCGCTTTGGTCATCTGGTGAGGCCCTGCTTGTGATTCCGCCTGCGTCACAAGCGCGTTTGGTGGGGACACGGGACAGGGCCTTTTCTGTGGTGGCCCCCCGACTCTGGAACACCCTCCCCAAAGATCTGAGACAGGCCCCTACACTGGCAGTCTTCAGAAAGAACTTGAAGACCTGGCTGTTCCGATGTGCCTTCTCAGATTAGGAAACTCCAATAACAAGTCCTCAAAAGCACTTTAGTAGAACTAAGATTACTGCACTCCGCACTCTGCGCTTGCCCGATAATCCTTGTATACCTCCTGCCACATCAGCACTGTTAATCTTGTACCCACTACCCTGGCCTGGCCCAGTTTTATTATGTCTTGATGTATTGTTTATCGCATGTCGTTTAATATTGCTTTAACTGTTTTTAATTTGCTTTGGTGTTATGTTGTTGTGTTATATTGTTGTGTTGTGTTGAGGCTTTGGCCTGTGTAAGCCGCATCGAGTCCTTCGGGAGATGCTAGCGGGGTACAAATAAAGATATATATATGACCTTGAGGGAGCTGGGGGTGGTGACGGCCGACAGGGAGCTCTGGCGTGGGCTGGTCCATGAGGTCACGAAGAGTCGGAGACGACTGAACGAATGAACAACAACAACAATATATATATATATATATATATATATATATATCTCCTGTGGGGCCTGCTTACTTAATACAAAAATGTATTCTACTTAATACAGCCAAACCAACCACATGCGGGATTCGAACTCGCAAGCTTCACCTTCAATGACTCAGCGTCGAAATTCCCGCCTCCTGCCGGGCTCGGACTGCGCAAGCGCACCAGCTCCAAAATTCTCTCTTATTCCCTCCCTCCTTCCTTCCTTCGCCGGCTTCTCCTCCAACGAGGAGGCGTGGCCAAACGCATCACACGAGGGGGCGTGGCCAAACCCCAAGCGCGAGGAAGGTTGCCGAGACGAGAGAGAGAGAGAGAGAGGGAGAGGCGAGCGCGCGCGATAGAAGGAAGGAAGCAAGGCACGAACGAACTGCTGTCTCGCGCTCCTCTCGCCGCTGGAAGGGAGAGGGGAGGGGGCGGGTCTAAGGGGAAGGAGGGGGCTCCTGATTGGGTGGTGGAGGGAGGGTGAGTGGCAGGCTCTCACCTGAGGGCGTTGCTGAGGCCCCGCCCACTTCCTTGAAGGAGAGTGGGAAGGAAAGGGAAGCAGAGGAGGGAGGGAGCCTGGTTTTAGGGTTTGGCCCCCTCATTTTGAGGGGTGTCATTTCTCTTGAGGGGGGTGGGTGACAGGGACTATTAGCTTCCATAGCTGCCTGTGTGAAGCTTCTCCATTGGGGGACTTTCCAGGCTTGAGGGGCCCCAAACCCTGTGTATTTGGGTATCTTTTGGGGTGTGTTAGCTTCTGAAGGAATATTTTAGGCCTATTTTAGGAAGAAGCAGGAGAGACTCACTTGTTTGTGAGGCTAATGCAGTTTTGGGTCTATGCCCTTCATTTTGGGAAGGGATTTTATTGAAACAGAGCTTCCATTGTAGGAATGGGCCTGAGCCTACATCCTGTTTGTGGGGAGAGTCCTGCAATTTTTTGGGGTGTCTCTGGCCTACTTTAAAGGGTTGTTTCCCTTCTGCGGGAGAAGCCTTTTGAGGCGTGTTTGAATTTTTTCATTCCCTATCTGATCCTGCTGTGGATTATCTCTCATTTTCTTACTTTCCGTCATTTGATCTCGAAACACTCCTATTATCTCCTGTTTGTTGTGTTTCCAGAGCAGAAAATTGCTACTCTGTATTGGAGACCCTGGAGGTTAAAATAAATTAAAATTAAAAAAAACTTTTCTAAGATGGTTCTCTATTTGAGAAGTTTCTGGTTTGGGATCTCTGTTAGTGGCTCCCAGAGGGATCTAGTGGATCACTTCTGAAAGGGCTGGCCCTCAAATCTTAAACTTGCAGAGACCTTAAAGATCAGGGTCTGTTCCTTTTGCAGGAAGCAGTTTTTCAAAAAAGGACGGGTTGTATAAAGGGGCAGGGCTTACATAGGTGTCAGGTGTCTTTCCAAGGTAGGAACTGGGATGTAAATTAGTACCAAAGGCCTAATTTTGGGAGTCGAAGACTCTCATTACTCTCATTACTCCCATTATACCCTCGCCTGCATGCACGTTACTTCCTTCCTGCTCTTGCTGCTGTTTAATTGACCTTACACCAGGGAAATGTCGGAGCTGAGGAGGCGAGGAGCTGCAGGAGATCATGAAACTGACAGCATCCTTGACAAGGTAAGTATGACTTGAGTCTTTTGCTTCCTTATACCTGCCTCTAGGTGCGACAACAGGGATGCTGTGAATTCGTGGATTTCTGAGGTGCCTTTCCTAGCTGCCTGATCCGTCACCTTTTTTGCTTCCTCCTAAACAGTTCTTCCTGAAGGCTTGGAGGAGACGCTGATTCACACTTCTTCACCCTCTCGTGTTTCACTCAGTTATAATTTCACCTCTCGAGATATGCTTGAGTAATGAATTTGGGGCAGGTATTTGTTTTCTCCCCCTCCCTCCTTGGGAGCTGTTCTTCCTCGTCAGGCATGGTAATACTTGACAGTTCGAATGCAGAAGAGAATATTGGGTGAAAAGGAAAGGCCTTTCTCTTCCATGTTCATTTCCCTTTTTTACACAGTTGAGCATGAGCTGGGGGAATCAGCTTGAGAATGTAGCAGCGATGCCTCACTCTGCAGTAGGAGGCCGTTCCCTCTGTACCTGCAGTCTGCACCCTGTCTATAAAGCTGCTCCTCCCCTTGTTTGCGAGCTCACATTCAGTAGTTATAGGTTGTAAAGTCCTCATTCAGTAATACATTGACCTTTGTATCCAAAGGAAGTTAAATATACGTTGGTGGATTTGATATCGTTAGCATGTATCTGTGTTTCCATCTATATAGTGTGTGTGTGTTTGTGGACGTGCTTAGCTCTGAGATCTATCACGAGCAGATATAAATGTCTGTATTGTGCCTGTATATCTAAGGGAGAGCTGTGTTATTTTGGCTAGTGACTTACATAATGAGTTAATGCCTTTTAAAAAGAAGAATATTATGCTTTCAAAAATAATGTCGTTTTCCTAGGCCTCAATTTAAGAGCTGATATTATGCAATTCCCAGTATGTGTAACATAGTGAGGTTATAGAATACCAAGATTTCAAACAGTTCTGACTAATCACAGACTTCTAAAATTGCAGCATTATTTTAGTGCAGGGAAACAAGTAATAGAAAACAATAATGTTTGTTTTTGATATTTTGTTTTCAGGTATTTTGATATTTGATTTTTGTTTCCTTTTAATATGAGTTTAAGTCCAAGGAATGGATTATTGAGGTACTCATTGATTTATCTGATTTTTGAGGGGCAGACTGTTAAGTGTATTAACTTGTTCACTAAATGCACCTTGGGAATTGTACTAATTCTTCAACTTTCTAACATAAGGAAATGTTCAGATACAGACTGAGCATCCCTTGCTAGAATTCTGAAATCTTCAGAATCCACAATTTTCTACATGGGTGACTGAGATAGTGACACCTGTGTTTGTGATGGTTTGGTGTACACAAATGTTGTTTCATAGACAACTTTAAAGTATAAAATTACCTACAGGTTGTGTGTATAAAGTGCATGAAACAAATGAATTTCATGTTTAGACTTGGGTTCCATCTCCAAGATATCTTATTTTGAACACGCATGCAAAATACCAATATTCCAAAATTCGAAACATTTCTAGTCCCAAGCATTTTGGGTAAGGGATATTCAGCTTGTCTATGTATTGAAAACTATGCATTTCAACTGCAAACGTTTTTGTGGAAAGTTATAGCAGCGTTTCTCAACTTGGGGATCGGGACCCCGGGGGGGGGGGGGGGGGCGAAGGAGGGTGTCAGAGGGGTCGCCAAAGATCATCAGAAAACACAGTATTTTCTGTTAGTTATGGGATTCTGTGTGGGAAGTTAGGCCCAATTCTATCATTGGTGGGGTTCAGAATGCTCTTTCATTGTAGGTGAACTCTAAATTTCAGCAACGACAACTCTCAAATGTCAAGGTCTATTTTCCCCAAACTCTACCGGTATTCACATTTGGGCATATTGAGTATTCATGGCAAGTATTCATGCCATGATGGTCCAGATTCATCATTGCTTGAGTCCACTGTGCTCTCTGGATGTAGATGAATTACAACTCCAAACTCAAGCTCAATGCCCACCAAACATTTCCAGTATTTTCTGTTGATCATGGGAATTCTGTGTGCCAAGTTCGGTTCAGTTCCATTGTTTATGTTCAGAATGCTCTTTGATTGTAAGTTAACTATAAATCCCAGCAACTACAACTCCCAAATGACAAAATCAGTACCCTGCCCAAACCCCACCAGTATTCAAATTTGACTGTATCAGGTATTTGTGCCAAATTTGGTCCAGTGAATGAAAATGCATATTGCATATCAGATATGTACAGTACAATTCATAACAATAGCAAAATTATAGTTATGAAGTAGCAATGAAAATAATTTTATTGTTGGGGGTCACCACAACATGAGGAACTGTACTAAGGGGTTATGGCATTAGGAAGGTTTAGAAACACTGAGTTATAGGATCTGCACTCGGGGTTACTCTTTCTTCTTTATTTCTTCTTTCTCCTCCTCTACCTCTAATTCTTATGACTTTATATGCTATCTTTCTACCTAGTCCCAGAACCAGGATCCATGGTAGCTTGTAAATTAAAATAAATGCAGTTTTTAACAAATAAAAGTTTAACATTAAACAATGGGGGCTAATTCTTATAAATTTCCTATGGGGAAGACTGGACAAGTGTGATCACATGCTCACAACAGCTGTTTTTCCTCTATGGCAACTCCACAGCAGCAACATCTAAGTCATGTGCATTGGAAAAGGTCATCACTGTTCTTCTTCTTTAAAGAAATCATCCATTTGTTGTGTAAATCCCTGCACATATTAAATACTTGGGAGAAGGGCTCTAGTGATGTCTACCCTGTGATATACTATGATTCTATGCACAGGGATTTATTTATTTATGAAGGCATATTCAGTTATGTGCAACCTGACCTGCAGTTTGAAGTTGTGCACTCCAGACTCAGGTTTATGTTCCCATTTGGTCTTTATAAGAACTAGATCCCAGTTTGTGCAGGTTTCTTGTTATACCTATGAAACCTCAATGTTGTCTCAAGAAAGATATAGCCCAGGATATATTGCAACGGAAGACAGGAGGGCACAGCAGTGTAAACGTTTTGGAAATTTGAAAGACATTTTCCCAAGGAGACAGAAATGTACAGAAAATATTTTAAAAAGTAATCTTGGCACCATTTTGAGATTTAAAGTCACTGTTTCTTTACGAACACAAAATGCATTGTGATCAGCTTGGCTTGGCATAAAACTATGCCATTATAACATTAATTTTAATTTTCTTTCTTTTTCTTTTCTTTTCTTTTTTCTTTTTTGCTTCAAATAGAATACAGGATCTTGAACTGGAAGGGACTCCTAAACTCTAAGTAACCTCTTTGGTTCTGCCAGTTTGAGGAGTAGGCGAAAACAAAACTCACATATGCAGAACAGAACAAATAAACAGCATTAATAACACAGAGAAAATGTCTCCACTAGTGTCAAGGAGATATAATACACTCAGTTATATAAAATGAATTGCGAAAAGAAACCAAGACCAGTAATTAATGATTTAATATGTGCATGGTTTTACATAAAGGTCTTCCTCTTATACAGCTTTTAGAATGATTTCAGTGCTATAAATATGTGAACATTTTTGTCTTCAATATTTTATTTATCATTCCAAAAGAAAAATTCCACAAACATTAGATAATGTAGGCACTTCCTGTAGCGCAGATTAAAAATGTTGAACTAGGTGTTTCAGCATGAAAGCATGAAGTATTGACTTCTTGAAGCATGGTTATGAATAGTTTGATTTTTGAAGTCAACTCTTCTAGATTCATCTAGGTTTCTTAGATTTACCTTCCTTGGTACTTCCAGATGTGTTTGGACTAGAACTTCCATCATATTGAATATGCCAAGTTGGGGAAAGCTTGTATTAGATTGCGTTCTTGACCGCAGGTAATACAAACTTGTGTTCAGTGCTTTCCTTAGATGGCTGTTATCTATGAATCCAATGCCACAAAGAATTGGCTAGTTTCTTAGATTGTGTGACCCTTTGTCATCTTCTGTGTACCAGGACACAAATAATTAAAGTGAGAAAAAATGGCATGTTGACATTGTTCATCTCCTCCCCCCCTCACGTTAGAGTGATTTGATTATTGTTCTGCAAAATTTGGTAACATAAAGATTGACTTTTTGTTCCCTACCCAACATAGTCCAGATGGGTTCAATGGCAATTCCTGTGTGCGCTGGCTACTATATTATCGAAGCTGTAGTTCATAATACAATGAAGGCATCAGATTAGTGAAAGAGTGGTTTGACGTGGTGCCTCAGGAAAGGATGGGGAAAGGCTTTGGTATGGTTGTGGTTCTAGATCCCAGTGCATAAAAGATTGTGTATTTATGGAGCTTTAGTCTTAGGCTTATTGTGAACATTAGGGCTTATCTTTATATTGCAAGGGGAATTTTCAGTAGTACTAATTTAACTATACTATATTTAATAAGTAGGTTGTGATTTAGCTTGAGGCTAAGTGGAAAGGAAATAGAGCCTATGGTTTAAGGTTTCTCACACACACACACACACACACACACACACACACACACAAAATCACATGTTTAATAACTTGATATTTTTATTGTACTGCTTTTTTGTGATCATCTTCATCTTTTCCTACTGCCTTTCTAAGCATTATTGTCTTTCCTAGTGAGGCATGTCTTCTCATGATATATCCAAATATGACAATTTTCTTAAGTCATCTTAAGAGAGAGAGGTTCAGGCTTGATTTGCTCTAGGACCCGTTTGTTCTTCTTTCTGGCAGTCCACAGTATTTGTAGAACTCACCTGCAGCACCTCATTTCAAAGGAGTAGCTTTTCTTCTTGTTGCCTTTCTTCACTGTCCAACTTTCAAAACTGGCTTCCTCCTAAACGAATCCTGTTTTACGTAATACACACACAGATATACCCATATATATGTGTGTGTATTACATAAAACAGGAGATACACACACACACACTCACACTCACACTCACACACACCAGCTGTACCCGCCACGCATTGCTGTGGCCAACCTTCCCTCTTTCTCTCCTTCGTTCGTTCCTTCCTTCACTCCCTCTTTCCTTCTCTTCTTTCTTCTTTCTCTATCTC